AATATGCATCAACCAATTTATCTCCGATCATGCTAAGAACTGCTTATAGAAATACGATGGTGGCCTCGCTGAACGCCTTCTCCTGTCCAGGAGCAATTTGTTCCTGTGGAGACACCGACGACCCAAAACATGTTCATAGCCGTGAGCCATAAAGTGGTCTTAGTCTGCCAACGCTTAAAGTACATACCGGTAAACTTATCCGTTTTTAGTGCAGCGGCAAAGTCACTTGCCGAAAAATTCCTACACATAATAGGTTTTTGTATTGTTGAATAAGTAGGCAATTTTTCAACTAATTTAATCCATACAAATCACTAGCATGGCATTGACAGAATTAATGACATACTAATTCTAATCTAAACAAGCACGTACTACGAAAATAGTAGACACATCTACACGTAATGCTAGTACTGCTAATGCGGAAATAATCAGGAGCGGGATAAACGTGTTATACCTTCTAGTAGACCAGGCAGAAGCCGCGGCGACGGTGGCGATAGCAGCGGCGACCTTCTTGTCGGCCTCGAGCTTCTCAGTGGCGAGATGGTCGGCATCGGACTGAGACATGGTGATGATGAAGGTGATGCGGACGTAGACGAACGAAGGCGAGAAGTCGCATAGTCGCTTCCGAAAAACCTATTCGCCCCTCTGTCGTACAGGATCCGGAGAGGCCGGGTTTCAGAGACCTGCTCTCCCGTCGACCGCGTACGCGGCGGATGGGATGCAGTCACCGGTGGCAGCAGCAACAAAGGAATGACAGTGGGCAGTGCGCGTGAAGCAGATGTGATCTGTTAGTGGCGGCTAGGGTTAGGAGACACCTCCCACTTATATAGACGCATCCGCGTGGAGAGATGTGGGCTCGACCCACGTCCGAGTCCGTGACAACCCACGATCCGACGTCTTAGATCGTGGCCCAACTGTTAGAAAACTAAACTCTCCGTTACTGACTGGCAAAAATAAACGCGTAGGTGTGATCTCGGCTCAGCTCATTCCCGTAACCCGTGGTGCGTCGTGACGAGGCATGGCGTGGCGAGGCGGGTGGAGGAGGAGTGCACGAGGGCCTCTTCTATTCTCAAGCTCCAATAGCATGTGGAAGAGAAACCCTTATAAGGAGGTCCAACTCCTCTCCAACTTCTGGGGTGAGACTAAACTTCCCACTACACCTAGTGTCAATTAAACCCACATGGGCCCTTAGAGATTTCCAGAAATTGTTAGATGGGTCTTAGACCCACCCTGACATTTCAACAAAATCTAGCTGGTCTTCTCACAATAGCAAATTGAGCTTGCAAAATCCCAAAAGCTCTCTCCACATCTTTCGTAGCCGCCGCCTGAGCATTGTGAAAATCAACATTTTTCTTACCTTCTAGTTTTTCAACGGCTTCATAAATGTTTGCCACCTTGGATAGATACCATCCGCAAGATAGTAGCCATAGTTGTATGTATGACCATTTGCTACAAACTGCACTGGTGGCAGTTCACCATTTGCAATCCTATTCATGAGTGGTGACCGTTGAACAACATTGATGTCGTTCAAAGATCCCGGCATTCCGAAAAAAGCATGCCAAATCCAAGTCTCCTGATTGGCTACCGCTTCAAAGATTATAGTGGAACCTTTTTTCTGGCTGTGGAATTGTCCGTGCCATGCCTTAGGACGGTTCTTCCAACTCTTGCATACAATCTATTAAGCCAAGCATACCAAGGAACCCGCGAGTTTTATTCATCTCCAAAAGCCTTGCGGTATCTTCAGCATTGGGAGCTCTCAAAAAATTCCGGACCAAACACTTGCACGATTCGATCTGCCGGAATACCATATGCCAACATACGCAAAGTGGCGATCACCTTTTGAAAGGTGTTATGCCCGAGTTCTCCGACGGCATTCCTCATTTGCTAAAAAAACCGATCATGGCTCGCCAGTCTCTCTGTAATGTGTTTGAACAACTCGATGATCATCCTAAAACGACGCCGAAAGTAGGACACGGGGTATGTGGGATTCTCCGCAAAATAGTTCCTCATCAATCTGTTGTGGGCATCGTTCATTTCCCTCCACATCTGATGACCAAAAACCGAACCACCGTGCTTCAGCTTTCTGTTGATGTGCATAGCTAGGACCATTGCAAGGTCCTCCTCCTCTTGAAGATCAAATTCTTCATCGGAAGAATCGTGGGATGCACTCATCTACAAATTTGAATTCAAACTAAAATTTAACACTACAAACAACATGCTCCGAATTCATCTACAAAAATGAAGTTAGAAGCAGCAAGCGTTTTGTCAAACACCTTGTGGGCACCGAGCTGCAAACCCCCGCCGGGCGCTGTTCGTCGGCGGAACGGGACGCTCGAGGGGTGGCCGCGGCGGAGGAAGCAGCGACGGCCATCAAGGAAGAGGAGGAAGCGACGCGCGCGGTGGGGAACGACGGGGGGAAGCGCCGACGGGTCGCCAGAGAGTAAGGATGGGGAAGGCGCGCGCGAGTGGATATTTCAGATCCAGCGGTTCATGGACATTCTTGCGGGCAATTCGCTGTATAGCGCGTGATAGCGGGCACTCGAAAAAAGCAGCGCATGTTGCAGTTCTGTTCGGCGCGCGGAGTGGTTTTTATCGCGCACGTGATTTTTGTGTGTCTGTTGGAGCTGCCGATTCGATCGCGCGCTAAAAAAACTTTTTTTCAAGCGCGTGGCTTATTTAGTGCCTCTGGTGATGCTCAGTGCGCGTTTGCAAGGTTGAGAATGATTCGAAAACTACAGTCCTGTGCGTGTTGACTTGTTGCGTGAAACTCACGCTCGTCTGAACCGCTCGTCGTTTTCCAGAACTGAAAACTGCACCTGAAAACGACGGCTCCATTCCCCCACCTTTTTCCTTGTGTTTTTTGCGCTACAGTTAAAAGCGCCGCGTATTGCAGAGTGCACCTCAGCTGATCGATGCATGCCCGTGGACTCGGCGCACGAGACAGCTGGGCGGGCACACGCGTCTTCGGAGGACCTGGTCCATGCGATTACTAGTAGGCGACAACTAGTGCTCCTGCTCCTCCCAACAAAGTCTTTTGCTTAGCCTTGACACGTACGGTAATGAAGGTGGCAGTGGAGGAGGGGGCTATTTTGCAGTGTTTACTATCACAAACGTACACCGGAATAATGCATGCTCGTATAGGGTTTGCCTTACCTACTCACATAGCCGCTCAAGTGCGATTGATCTACCCCGAATAGCACATTTACTCGGCATGGTTCATTTGACCAGAGCTGCAATAAATTTGAAGCTTTTTAGGTTGAGGTAATGCGTGCAACAAATCCCGACTTCAGAGAGGCAAAACCAAAAGTTGCCAAAAATGACAAAATTTCAGAGATGGGAGAATTTTGTTTTTGACACTCTAGATTTTGCCAATTTTTCTTATGCCACTCTAGATTTTTGACATTTCACTTTTGTCATTCTTAGTTTTTGACATCATAATTGTCACTCCCGTGGCAAAAGCAAAATTTTGTTAGTTTTTGGCATCAAATTAATTAGGCTAATACTTTGTAATTTTGTACTAAAATTCCTAACCATATTTCAAGCATTGGAAACACCAACTACAAAAAATTGAAACCACATATACAATACAATATAATCCAATGCATACAAACCAACAAAATTTGGGCCCACATCAGAATTTGACACTACACTAAAAAACGTCT